TCTATTCTTCTGTTAAATTTAGGATCATATTAGAACATTTATTACTTGGTCTTAAGTTTGACTAGTGAATTCAATGAGAATACTAGTTTTGGTCATACTAAATTCATTTGACCAATTTTATAATGTGAAACATAGAGACTAAAAATAGGTTTTACAAAAAATTGAATCTCAAACATTATGGTGCAATCGAAAATCTCAATAATTTTTGAATGTTTGATATTATTGTTTATTACCAACATACTTGTATATGTATGCTATTCATTTGCATTATACAAAAAAAAAGTACAAAAGGAATATGAATTTCTCTGATTTTGTTTGTTCATCACTAAGAAAACATATATATGACTGTATGTCATTAATCTTCATTCAGTACCTTGTCGATCCAATCCATGCTATCGCGATTATTATCAAAATTTTCTTCTCCATTCATACCTGCTCTTTGATGCATAGCGAGAGCATTATCTTGGCTCTCCATAGAAATCTGAGGGATTGAGTTGGTTGGAGTATTTGAGACAATATCATTACCGAGATTACTTGTCGGTAAATGAATATTTCTCTCAGAAGTATCATAATTTTCCAACCAAACGTTCATATCCATCTCATTGACATTGATGTCAAAAGAAATGAGATCTTCAATTGGAACATCATAACCTTCGTCATAATAAGGACCCAAACTCATCTCTACTGTATTGGTTTCAATTGAAGGGATCAAATCTATATGGTTCATATTGGTTTCCTGATGACTATTTTCTTCTAGTGATGGAACCCAACCTATTTGGTCCATATTGGTGTCGAAAGGGTTCATGGTATTGCCTGGAAAAGAATAGTTTTCTCCTATAGGGCTTATATCAGCTTGAGGAACATGAGTATTTAGGATAGAAATAGGGTCTATATCTAGAGGGTTCCTATCGGTTTCAAAAACATAAGTAGATGATTGCATTGGTTCAGGATTTGGGATAGGAAAATGAATCATCGTAGTTTCCAACGGGAATGTTTCTGCGTTGGTTGCACCAACACTTGATGGTAAACTAGAGAGGCGAGGAAGTTTATCACCACTAAAGCTAGGTGAAAGGAGACCACTATGATTAACATCTTTGGTAGAAGGAATTTTGTAAGGTGGATTGTTACTTGTGGTTGAAGGAGTATAACTAGCTTCAGTGGATGAATTTTCTAATATGTTACTAAAAAGTGAGTGATTACTCAGATCTAGTTTCTCGCCTACATGAATATTTGGTGTCTTTGCCTTTGTCTCTGAAGGTTTTTCAAAGAAGACTGCATAGAAAAAATGGATATTTACACAAAGATAATACAAAATGATAAAAATTGTGATATATATATAGAGTATAAACACTTACATTGTGGAGCAGATGATGTTGATAACTTTTTCTTTTTCAGGGAATACCACAAAGAGTTACTTTCAATGAGATTATTCGTTAAGTTGGATGCTTTGAAAGGATATTCGTAGTCTGAAGGATATTTGAATGTTTTCTCTTTCGAAATCCATTCTTTCTTCGGCAATGTTTCATTGATTTGCTCAATTTGAGTTTTGTATTTCTGAAATAATTATAAAATGAAGAGATATTATAATCAATAAGGTCATCAAAAAATAATATATGTGGAAAATATTAGAACCTGAAGATGGCTAGAAACTTGACGATGAGTCAAGTCTGGGTCATTCATAATCTTCAGTATGGATTTCGGACGAGAACCTACACGAAACGAGTTTAAGAAAATTATTAAATAAAAAAGTAAATTGTTCAAGGAAAAATTGCAAAAGTGCCATTTTTTATGTGCACATTTGCAAAATGAAGTAAAAAAACTTACGTTTTTCACCCAAGATGGAGATAGCAGTTAAAAATTTCATGTGACGCTCATGAGTCCATAAATTACAGCGACTTCCAACATTGCTCTCCGCATTCTTCCCTTCTCTTCTCTTATTCTCAATCACAATGGGACACACCGGTTTGGTTTTCCATTCAACGTTTTCTACACTTTTTCTCCGTTGGTACATTTCAGGAGTTGTGAATGCTTTCATAAATTTTCGTCTTCCAAGCAAAGATGCTTGACTTGTTCGCGGTCTCTTAAGATTTTCCATGAAAACTTCAATCTGATTTTCAGCCATAACACTCTTTTGTTTTTCAGCTATGTTGATTTTCTCAAACACTTGGCTCTTCTTGAGTGAAACATGCTGCCATAGATTCTTGATATCATTCTCCAAAATTGGTTTCTTCAAACAGAAACAAGATGCCTTTGTCAAAGCATCTGATGCTTTCTCGGTCATTATCTCTGGAGTGATCACTTATACACATAGAAAACAGAGAACAATAAACAAGAAGTTCTTTTTTAAAAGAAGCAAATGGAAAAAGGAGTAAAAGGAAGAAGCATATATTAAAACTGACTTACATATGAGAGGGATATCTTTTAAAAGCAAAGCGGTGAGGAATGGATGTGAATTTATGTGAGACAATTCAATGTTGGCTATGACAAGTTCGATGTCCTTTTGTTTTTGGATCATCGGTACAGCTTCACTCGCTACTTTCACGCTCGTCACTAATACATCAATTTATATATTATATGTTTAAAACACAATCCAAA